ATTGCCCCCCCCCCCCCCAAATGTGTCGGAGGTTTGATTATATACTCGCTATCTGAAACAAATTTCGTAAATGAACTAGCATGGACACGAGAGGGTTCAATATCTCAATAGAACCCGAATAGATAAATGTTTGAGATGTCTTGATGTTATGAGCGACACATGGGTCCATTTTTTATGGGCATGACGACTAGCTATAATAGCCGATGACATCCCGGGACTTGGGATGACATCAAAACATGATGTCTGTATCGATTAGGATCGAAGATGGAAATTGAGATGCGATGTTGCGTTGAGAGACCTTTGCACTAAGTAGAGGAAAGGTTAAGCCGAATGACTTGGCCTATTGGAAAGACAGTCGGTTGGGTCGCAGAAAATTGAACATGCACACACAAGTGGCATGTGCGGCCAAACAAGTTTGAATTCTACACGACTTGTGTTCATTTGGCAAAGACAAACCTCGTTCAAGGTCTGTCAAAGCCACAAAGACATACGAAAAATGAATACGAGGCTTGGGTTCCTCTCAAAACTTACCATGAGCGTTTCAAGATCACGACAGTCGTCTTAGAGGGTGAATCCTTTATGAATTTTTTGTCTTTTTATGTTGTTTAAATTTATATCTCATTCCCAATTTCCTATTTGTAAAAAATTTAGAACAACATAGTGTTCTTTTAAATACATATTGTGTTTATTAACTTCTGTCTTGTTTTTTTTTCATTCCCAAGTCACGTGCTATCTATATCTTCCAGTTAAAGATAAACCGTCCGGGCACGAATGACAGTCAATGTTAAAATGACCATGAAAGTCAAGATATGACAGTAATATGCATCGATTTTCATTTATTAGCCGATAGGTGACGTTTTATTTTCTTGTTTTAAATTAATCGTATACATTGATGGTTTCGTTTGAAAAGTATTTTATTTTAAATTCTCGTCTATGCTATTAGAGGTATGCATAAGGTGACGTCTCTAATTCGACAAAAAAAAAAAAATCATAAATTTAATAGACGTTTTGAATTTTAAAATAAATAAATAATAGGTTAAATATAAAATTAAAATCTATAGAATACAACAAAAAGAAGTGTTCACGGACTGAGGACTTTGGTTGGGCACTCACTGTCCACAAACACAAGGGCTTCACGGGTGCTTTTAGACTTCCCCACAACCTATTTTTTTAATCACATTCCGACAAACTCATATGATAATCGAGTATTATAACTCTCGAACTCGAACATCCGCCTCTAATTTTTACCCAGTAAACTAAGCTCGACTTTCTTATAGCTAGTTTGGAAACACAGTGCGATGTCCCACATCAGTTGGGGATGAGAATAAAACACTTGGAAACCTCTCCCTAGCAGATACGTTTTAAAGCTTTGAGGGAAAACCCGAAAAGGGAAAGCCTAAAACTTTGAGGGAAAACCCGAAAGGGGAAAGCCCAAAGATGACAGTATCTACTAGCGATGAGCTTGAGCTGTTACACATTGAAATTGAAAAAAATGTTCGAGATATTAGAAAGTTGCCTCTAATTGACTCGTAGTTAGCCCAAGCTTCAAATCAGTGAATGAGTAACATTAAATTGCAATGTCCCATGTCTAAGATTCAGAATTTGTGTTCGACACTTGATGATCTCGACATTCCCAAAACTTTCTTTTAATGTCTCATGCTCAGGATTCAGTATCCGAATTCAACATGGCTATGTCACTAACTCCTTACTTCTAAGAGGGAAAAATATCCTCACAGACTAACACGAGTTCTTTCAGCATGATTTGTTCTCATTCACATGCTTCAAGTAACACCTCGTTTCTAAAAGTGAAGATTATCCCCACAGACCAACATAAGTCATTTCAGCCCAATTTATTTTTACCCACATGCTTTCTAGAAAAATTTACGTAAGGTCACTCAGTGTCGGATTACTCTAGGTAAAACACGTTTAACTTTGGAGATCATTTGGGTAACTTTCATTCGGATGTAGTCTCGGTTCATTTATGTAATCCTCCTTTACTCGACTCGAGGTGTCGTGAAAATCTTCCAAAAATTAAAAAGTTGGCAAAGGACAAAATAAAATGGGCCAACTTTTGAGCACAACCAAGCAAGTTCTTAAAGAGAATCTTCTCTTTTGCTGTCATTCACCAAAAAGATTTACCCATTTATTTCATCTAATTTCCTTTAAAATTTTACATGAATTCTCCACCACACATAAAAAATGTCATAAATTTACATATAAAATAAAAATAAAAATTTCTTTGAAAATTTGTGGTCCATTAATTAATCTAATAAAGTTATAAGTGTTTGACTCCAAATATAATTTATAATAAAGATCAAAATCGAAAAACGTTACGAAACCATAACCCTTTAAACAAAACAAATCAACCGTACGTGATTTTATTAGAAAAGTAGTGTCGGTCTTCACATTATACGTAATTTCAACAAAATAGGAGTTTGCTAACAAAAAAACATATTAAAGTAGAAGCATTTAAGAACATTAAAACATCATCGTCATCCTATGATGTCGTCTCTTAACTCTATCCATGAAATGGTTTGACTTTATATACTCGGTAACGTACTCTTTTATTGGAGTTAGATATTGCGAGATCCTACATCAGTTGGAGAGAGGAACAAAACATTTTTTATAAGGTATGGAAATCTCTTATTAGGAGGTGCGTTTTAAAATCAAGTTTGAGATTTACAAATGGTATCAGAGTTAGACATTGGGCGGTGTGCCAACGAGGACACTATGTCTCTAAGGGGGTGGATTGTAAGATCTCACATCGGTTGAAGAGGGGAATGAAGCATTCCCTATAGGTGTGCCAACGAGGATGTTGGACCCTCAAGGGGGTGGATTTTGAGATCTCACATCGGTTGGAGAAGGAAACGAAACATTTCTTAGGAGAGTGTGAAAACTTCTCCCAAATAGACACGTTTTAAAATAGCGATATATAACGAGCTAAACCTGACAATATCTGCTAGCAATAAGTTGAGTTGCAGCAATAATAACCAAAATTAAGGATCAATTTTTTTTTTTTTAGATCGGCCCCTAGCTCATAATTTGCTCCCAAGTTAGGATTGTCTAACTTGACTCTAATTGGCACATAGAGACACGACCACCTAATGTTGTGACAAAGAAGATGTGTGTTCCCGGTTTATTCACGACCTAGTCAAAATCTTTGTTTATGTTAGTTGTTGGTATAGTCACTACAAGTGCAGTCGG